CACACACACACACACACACACACACACACAACAAAGACAGTTGGTCGGCCACATGGGGGAACGGGGAGATTCTTGGGGGAAGTGAGCTAGGTTAGGGGAGATGAGGGCAGCAACTGCCCACAACCCCTTCCGAAATAGGATCCCTTCCTCCCTCTCTCTCTCTCACACACACAGTTGCTTGGCCATACGTGGGAACTGGGAGAGGCTTGGGTGAAGTGGGCTAGGTTGGGGGAGATCAGGGCAGCAACTACCCGCTGCCCCTCCAGATTACTCTCTCTCTCTCTCTCTCTCTCTCTCTCTCTCTCTCTCTCTCACTCTCTCACTCTCTCACTCTCGCGCGCGCTCGCTCTCCCTCTCCCTCTGTGACAAGGTTTGTGGAGCAACTATCCCCTGCCCTCGAGATGTAGACTCTCTCTCTCTCTCTCTCTTTCTCTCTCTGTGTGTGTGTGTGTGTGTGTGTGTGTGTGTGTGTGTGTGTGTGTGTGTGTGTGTGTGTGCGCGTGGGTGTTTGTCGCCATGTGGACGACGTGGAAGGCTTGGGCAAAATCAGGCGAGCAAATATCCCATGCCCCTCCGGATGTAGACTCTATCTCTCTCTCTCTCTCTCTCGCAAACACGCGTGCTTCATATTAGCTATACCCAACCTTACAAAGAAAAGCAAGCCAGTGCCAGACTGTTTAGTCAGACTTTCACCGACTCGTCAGGAGGTTGAACCCCAACAGTCTGCCCAGGAGGCATTTCAATAATGGATAAGGATGCACCACATCGCCCAGAATTAGCGATACCCCTGAGGAAGGTGGTTGACTTTAGTCACAACAACTGTGCCAGGATCACCGTGTAATCCTGGCAGACTGTCTATCCAAACCCCTGACAAGAATGACAGTAAGTCTCAGAAACTGATCTGACACAGCCATAAAACCTGATCTACACACCCACTCAGCCATGGATACCCAATGGTGTGTATTTTTTAATCCCCATATTCTCTATCATTCCATCCACGAACTGTCATAAAAACCATCCATAAAACAAAAAAACTGTACACAGGAAAGATAGTAAAAGATGCAAGGTTGGCCATGGTTGTGTAGTTAAGCGCCAAGTGTGTATTTGTCATATTCACTGTACACAACTACACAAAGAAAGGCATGACTGTGCTAAACTGTTACGTCATCCTGTGCGTGTGTGCGTGTTTGTCGCCCATGTGGGGGACCAGGAAGAGGCCTCGGGGAGATCAGGGGAGCAACTATCCAGCGCCCCTTCTCTCTCTCTCTCTGAAGCAGTGCACAGAATCACAGAAGAAATAAGAAAATCACTTTAGCACGCACACAAATGGCCCAGACATGAAAACAGAACTCGATGACCCGTTGCGGCTTTGCCCAGAAAAACAGAAAAGAAAAAAGCATAACGAACTGAACTATCAGTTGCCTTCACAATAGGAAAAAGAAGAACCTGCCAGCAGACAGAAATCCGCTGGCAAGAAAACAGGATGGAATGCCACCAACCTTTTTCCCCCCCCTTTTAATGTGTGTTTTGTTTGGGAATCCCGTTACCTTCTCAGCAACATTTCCATTTTGTGCTGTATACGGACCAACAAAGTTGTAGTCCAAGAACTCTGTGAACTTTCTGCGAAAATATTGTCCGTTGTCCCATTGACCTTTGTGCTTAAGGTTCCGATTCTGAGCTGGTTGGGTGTTTTTTCTCAATATGTTTGTTATCAACCGATTCTGTTTGTACAAGGTTACCTGTTGCGGCTTCGCCCGCAAAAAAATGAAGGGAAAAGGGTGCAAATGACGGTGGGTGGGGGTTTGTTGGTCCGTGTGTGAGTTCGCGTGGGGCCGGGGTGGTATTTTAGGCTCACCTGTGCACGGTTGTTGACACTGCCGTGCACAGTATGCATTCCTTTCAGTTGGTGTTTGCTGCGTAGGCGGTTGTTCGGATTTGAACTCACCTGTTGTGAGTGTGTCACACGTTGCATACCTGTCTCCAGCTCACCACAAACATTCTATCTCAGATGTCGGGAGATACGCAATTATGTGATCATGTGGGGGGGGAAGGGGCAGGCCGTGTAGTTAGATTGGTCTCTCTCTCTCTCTCTCTCGCGTCTTGCACGCACATCTCTCTCTCCCGCGTCTTGCACGCACCTCTCTCTCTCTCTCTCTCTCTCTCTCTCTCTCTCTCTCTCTCTCTCTCTCTCTCTCTCGGGAGATACGCAATTCTGTGATCATGTGGGGGGGAAGGGGCAGGCCGTGTAGTTAGATTGGTCTCTCTCTCTCTCTCTCTCTCTGTGCCTCTCTCTCGCTCGCACATACACGTGCTGTTTTTTTCTTTTTAAAAATAAAAAGGTTTCGAATCTCTCGCTGGACCACGGATCAGATATGAAATTGAACAGAGCAGGTACTACGCTTGATCATGTGCGGGAAGGATCGGATATGAAACTGATCGAAGCAGATACTACACTTGATC